TAGGTTTATGCATGGTTAAAGGGTTAGTTCACCCAAAAATGAAAATTAGTCCATAAATTACTCACCTAGGTGTATATGAATTTCTTCTTTCAGACGAATCCAGTCAGAGTTATATAAAAAATGGTCTTTGATCTTTCAAGCTGTTTAATGGCACTCAGCGGGTGTTGCAGTGCATCAGTCCAGTTTTTGTACGAAAAATATCCATATTCAAAACGTAATAATCAATTTTATTTTAGCTTGCGCCAACAGTTGTACACGGAAGCAGTTCTGGGTGGATGACGTATGAGGTCAGCATTGCGCATGTGCCGGTGAGTTTCGTGAAAACCAACGTTTGTTAACAAGAACAAAGGAAGCAAAGTTTCCATACTTTAGCAAAAGTAAACCAGTCTCCTCTTGGCTTATATCGAAATCCTCCGACATTCTTCTTTACAAATCCTCGTTTTGTACTTCTAATTAGTGACCGTTGATTTGTTTTGATCTCTCCCCTGCGCTTCCGCGTGCGTCACTTCTGAGCAGCGCATATGCAAAGCCGACCTCATATGTCATCCGCCCAGAACTGCTTCCGTTTACAACAGTGAGCACAAGCTAGATTAAATTATTACGTTTTAAATATGGTTATTTTTCTTACAAAAACGCATCGATTCGCTACAGGAAGACTTTGTTCACCCCCCGGAGCCGTGTGAGACACTTTTTTATTATGGATGGGCGCTTTTTATTTAACTTCTTTTGGACTGATGCACTGCAACACCCACTGAGTTCCATTAAACAGCTTGAAAGATCAAAGTCAATTTTTAATATAACTCCAACTGGATTCGTCTGAAAGAAGAAGGTCATATACACCTAGGATGACTTGAGGGTGAGTAATTTGTGGGCTAATATTCATTTTTGGTTGAACTAACCCTTTAAGAAGGTCATGTTGGATTGATCAGAGGAAAATAATTTACCGTTTTTGTTGCCTCTGAAAAGTGAAAAGTTGTAGAGTTGCTGTTTTTTTCTACAGCTGAACGGTGCATTAACACTGACAGTGACTAAATCTCTGGAGGTCAACATGCTGTACTGTTGGTTGCTAACAGCTGTATCCACCTGCATCAGAAGAGCTCCACTATTTATTTTTTATATTAAGTGTTAGTTTACCTATAGGACTTTTATTCATCTTCAAAAGACAAAATATGATATTTTTAATTAAAAACCTGAGAGATAAACACATAAATATTATAGTGCACATTAAAAATGGTAAACTTGCTGACACGTGAGAACAACTGACCTCATTGGTTCCTGTGGAAATTCAAACGTGGTTGCTTGACACACAAAATTCATTGGTTCTCATGTCAAGCTTAAGTGATGTGCTTTATGTGTATAAACATCTTCAGAAGACTTATTAAACCACTGATTCATATGGATTCAGTGCCGGCCCCCCTTGCTCTCAAAGATGATTTGATGACTAGGCCTGTGTGATAGAGTTTCAGTTTCGTTTTAGATTTTGGCTTCCATCGATTATGAAAACACACATTCCGTTCCATTTCCTTTTCTGCGCTGTCACCCTTTCTACGTAACATACGATTCAGTCAAATCATGTATTATAATATACAAATTCCTGCCGGACATGCTTCATAAAAAGAAGAGTTAAAAGCGCGTTGAGCTGTGAAAGACACCCAGTTCCCCAGGCGGCTTCCGGTGCGCGCGATCCGAGATAGCGAAAGAATAGGCTACTTTGGGCTTCAGGCATGTGCTTAAATGGACAATTTCACACAAAAATGTGCCAAAATGTCCATCTTGGTAAATTTTCACTTAAATGCAGTCAGTAATGTCTTATGTGAACATAAACAGCTTGGGAAAAAGTAATTGAATGCTTGTTAGTATAGATCTGTTTATTCGGTCTTAAGTGACAGCAGCCAGTAAACTTGCTGCTCTCTCTGTCATTTAATGTTAATCAAACGACAAAAGAAAATGAGAGAATCATTTACTGCTCTTCACTGAATAACTTTAATAAGAATCAATGTATGTTTAATTCATATGGCGAAGATTATGCCATGTTTTATTTTTACGTTTGGTTACTTACTGTTCAATTTCTGTATAGTAAGTCTAAATTATTTCATTTGTATCCTTCTATTAGATTTGTCCTATTATTTGAAATATTCTTCTTTTTTATTGTATCACTGACTGTTTCAACTTAATTTTGTTTGTTGAGAATAAAACTACTCTGAAAGAACAGATTAATGGGTTGGGGGTCATTTTGGGGTTTTCATGAACGCACCGACAGGGGCCCCTTGATATTTCACTTAGGGCCCTCAGAAGTCTGGGACTGGCTCTATATAGATTACTTTTAGGATGTTTACAAGATCAAGTTTTGGTTGTGTGGACTTTCAATGGAGGGACAGAAATATCTCAAGTTTCATTAAAAATATCTGCATTCATGTTTCAAAGATGAACGAAAGTTTTATGGGTTTGGAATGACATGAGGGTGAGTAAATGATAACAGAATTTTCATTATTGGATGAACTAAAGCTTTAATATTCTCCTGTTCCATAGTAATATGCAGAGACAAATGTAAGCAAGTTATTCGTTGTTTGACTTCCCTTAAGTGTTATCAAAAGATTGATTTGTTCGTTTGAGCAACCCTACATGGCTCAAGCAATGGTGTGATTTTGGAGGCAGGACTATCCAGCAACACCCATTCAAAACAAATGTGACTTCTGGTCACTTCAAAAGGCTGTTAATGGGAATGCCCCATTCGACTAAAAATCTGAAGACTGTTCTTGTAAAATACCACCAGGAATATGGCATGTACAGTAGCTGTGCACAGAAAACAGCAGGGGTACACAACGCCAAGAACCTGCCTCCCTGGTACAGGGCTCACAGGTACTCATGGGTATTTTGTTGACTGCATCAGTCAAAGTGGCTTGTTTTTCCCAAAGCATCTGTATTTAGTTAATTCAAGTCGAGAGGTCAGTAAGGCTTTCAGCATGAGTGACAAACAGGTGGTATTTAGTAAGTGGCTTTGAAGCCTAATGGGAATTCATCATTTTATTTTTAATTCTTCCCAGCTTGGATACTATGTACTGATGAAGCAACCAGTTGTATTTGCAACTGACAAAAATGCTCAGCTAAAATTCAAGTCCAATTTGTTTGGATCCGGCTCTTAATTAAGCTCTGAAACAGAAGACTGCTCTGTTTGCAATCTGTCCTGTAGTACTCAACTCATAAATGGTTTGTCAGCAGAGCTGAAGAGACGCCATCGCCAAATGTTTGTGGAAGTTCCTTGTAAACCATCTGTTGCATTAGCAAAGCTTCAAGTATGTTCCTTCATAGACAATTTTCTTCCTCTAACTTACTCTGCTAAACAACCTGTGAGACATTCAAACCATTAAATGCTCTGGCAAATTAGTATAATTGGCTTATTTGTATTTCATGAGTCAAATAACAAACATGTCAGGTTAGGATTTAATTTGTCTCTCTGTTGTGCAACTAATATGTGCATTCTGATTCAGACAACAGGCGAGAATGAGAGAACAGGAAGAGGGTTATGATTTAGAGCCACACACCAATGAATCCCAGCACAATAGTTCCATGCTAATCTATCATCATAAAACACAGGCGCACCAGACCGCAGTCCCACAATCCTCTGCTTTAACGATCGCACTTGCAGATACAGCATATCTACATGCATTACACTGCCTCATGAAAGGTGAAGGACTGGTTATATTGGCCGGCATATTTCGTCAACCTGTGACAGAGTGTTGCGTATGAGCGATTGATATTGATTACTGCAGTTGACAGCAAAGCATGCAATTACACTAGGACAAAGATGCACTTCAGATAATCTTTGGGCAGTTAACATGCTACAGATTGCTTCTTCTTGTTACCCATCAATATGTCTTGCTTAAAGGGATAGTTCAGCTAAAAATGAAAATTCTGTCACCATTTACATGAGTTTTATTCACCCTCATGCAGTTTCCAATCTGTATAACTTTATTTTTTTCTGTGTAACACAAAAGAAGATATTTTGAGAAATGTTTCTGGTTTTTGGTACATACAATCAAGTCAATGGGGATCAGTGTTGTTTTGGACCCCATTGACATTGAATTCTAAATATCTTCTTTTGTGTTCCACATAAGAAAGAATGTCATACAGGTTTGGAACGACATGAGGTTGAGTTTTCATTTTAGGGTAAACTATTTATTTTAAACAAAACCTACAGGGGGTGCACTGAAACTAAATTGGACAGATCTGGCTTCTCAAGTAATTTGATCTCATTTTAAGGATGTTTAGAAATTTCCCTGAAGTAACAAAATATTGGTTTAGAAAAAGATTTTTGCTGTGCAGCTCAGTCTTGCATGCGGGTCAAAGGTTAACATCTGTCAGCAACAGATCATTGCATGCTATGCTAGAGCCATCCGGGATTAGATCTAGACCCCATCGTTGCATCGTCATAGCCACTTGTTTTTCCATCAGCACACATGCTCAGGCACACACGTTGAGCTCAACACTGTATGGATTAACCCCATCTAAGACAGAGCACGATAATGATAAAATAACCACATGAGACCGCAGGGCTCTATCTAATCTAGTCTACAGGTTGCCATGATTGAAAACCGGGCTCCAAACGGAGAGGCAGGCCGAGGTTCATAATAGGATTTACATCTGGGACAGACAAGAGCTCTACAGATATAGATACAAAGGACTGATGACTCGCACCTGATGCCCACAAGAACCGCTTTAAAGATGTGTCGATCAATGGAACGAAAACAAAAAAAACAAACAGTAGGGTGAGAGTCACAAAGAAGCTCGACGTAACCCATGTGTCCCATCAAACCGTTGTCTGTCTGAACCCAAACAATCACGTGCTACATAAACCAAAGCCATTTCCAAGCATTCAATCAGAGCTGCAGAAGTGGAGCTCCATTCATACAGGTGGATAAAAACATACAGGTAGAGGAATCTGAGGCAACAGTTGTCAATTCTAGAGTGGCACAAAGACAGAGTAAGAAACAGCTACTCACTGGAGTCGTCCGAATCGTAGCCTTCCACGTCTGGCTCTTCCTCTTTCTTGCTGGCCACGAGTGCGGTGGCGCCGAAGGCTTGGTCCAGGTCGTCCTCATCCCGTTTGGGGTCTGTGGCCGGGCCCTCGGACTTCTGGCTGGTGGAGGTGCTCCTCAGGGAGCCGGTGCGGCTAAGGGCCAGGGGAGCTGTGGGGGGGAGACCCCGTGGGTAACGGGGGAAATAGTCAGATATCTGCTTGATGGGCTGAATGGGACCTGGACATACATCAATGGCCATGTGCTCCTGGATGCTGATGGTCGTCTTCTCGCCTTTGCGTTGTGTCATTCATGCAGCCCTTTTGAGGATGTGCCACCACCCCTGAACCCGGCAAAGGGTGGGGGGTAACAGTAAAAAAAAAATAAAAAAAAAATTAAGAAATAAAGAAAATGAAATTAAAAAAACAACCTTCAAAAGTAAAATCTTCCTTGTTCTGGTAATCTCTTAGTGTCCCTGAAGAGCAACTGAGTGTGTCTTGATGTGTAAGTGCATGTGTGTGTGTGTTTGCGATCACAGCAGTGGGCTACATGAGAGGCTGTGGGCTGCTCCAGCACACTGAGGTCATGCCGTCTGCCTGTGAGCTGCGCTCAGACTACTACAGCATGCTAAGACTGTTACCGGGATGAATGCATGTGGGAAAGAGAGAGAGAGAGAGAGAGAGAGAGAAGGAGGGGGCAGGATTATACGGAGGGATGGAGGGATTGGCTGATGTCATTGCTTAGCAACATGACGGTAAACAGGAATCGGGCGCGCGACTACTTAATTACGCTATTAGTCCATCTGTTAGAGAGCGACTGGGTTATCTCTGTTCCTCCTCTCTTTTCAGTCTAGCTTCTGACTGAACTGCCATCGCAGACGCGCACGGCATGTGCTAAACTCCGGCACAATTATCGGCAACAGATCCTAAATGCCTAAAGTCACACATGCCAGGTTATACATCAATCCAGCTATTCAAACAGCACAATGGGTAAACTGTAAAGGTAGATAAGAAGAAATGCAGTATTTATAATGCATTTTAATCCAGTATCCATAATGCACAGACAGTGTTATGCATGCATTTGTGAATATTAAAGGGATAGTTCACCCAAAATGAAAATCCTGTTATTATTTACTCTCCCTCATGTCGTTCGAAACCTGTATGAATTTCTTTCTTCTACAGAATGTTTCATATGTTTTTGTCCATAACTACCAAAACTACACTGGACCCCACTGATTTTCAATGGGGTCTTTCACTAAGACTTTTCTCAAAATATATTATTTTATGTTCCACAGAAGAAAGTAAGTCACAAGGTTTTGAAACGAAGGTAAGTAAATGCTAAGAATATCATGCTATGAAATTACCATTTAGTAACATGTTGCTAATTGGCTTGATTTTTGTTTTCCAATACAATGGCTTTCAGGCATTTTTAAGAGTGGCTTAAGTGCCGAAATAGTCTTTAGGGTCACTGTATTCATAACATTTATCTACATTAACTTCTCTTAAACTGATTTCGGTGTCATGACAAATAACGACGGTAGAGACATTTACTGGGAAAATTGCATCAGCGTTCTGTTGCTTTATGAAAACTAGCAGGGGGCTATTCAACCTGTCCTCTGCTTTACAGCTATGATAAATTACAGGCAAAAGCCATTCTCACTTTTTACAATAGCAAAGATTTACAGTGAAAACAGTGAGTAATCTTGATGTACTCTCTTAAAGGACCTAGACAAGATGACAATCCAGCACTTTCGATTGACGGTGTCGCTTTTAACAAGTGAAGAGGAATGAGGAAAATGATGAATGATGGCGAGGGACATACGTAGGATGTAGCATGATGTTATTTAATCATGATTTTAAATGGTCGTTCATTATGTAGATCCGAATGTTTGCAATTTCCCACATGGTGTTATTAGGAGACAAAACCTGGCAATTAATTTACTCTTATAATTAAGGAGTCGCCCCCATGCTCGTTGTAATTCTTCAGCGGAAAACACTTAGTGAGAGCGAAGCTCATTATTTTCTGTCTATTTCCGTAATTCCTTCTGGAGATCCTTTCTTTTGTGCTTCCGGAAGACTCATGTTTAAAAAAAAAAAAAAAAAAAATGAAAAAAAAAAAGG